GCTGGCTCATGTTCAGTCAGCTTTCCATCTGCACCCCCAGATCCTTTTCTGCCAGATGGCTTTCCAGCCTCTCCTCCCCAAGCCTAAAACACAGTCTACGGTTGTTGAGACCCAAGTGCATGACCTGGCCGTTTGCCATGTTGAACCTTACACCATTGGCCTGGTTCCATTAATGCAGCCTGCCCAGATCCCTCTGGAGAGTCTTCCTACCCTCAAGTAGATCTATGCTCCCCACCCAGCTTCTTACAGCAGCCCTTGTCACAGCTTTGGCCTTGAGGCAATTAGTGATCTTGTGGACAATTCAGATGTGTGTGTTGGGGGTTAGTATAGGTGAGGGACCACTCTCAAAGAATTGATTTCCACATGGGCACTCTATTTGGAAGGTGAAAGTGTTTAATGGCATAGAAATAGGCTGCTCAGTGCCAGCTGGCCTTTGTGCCTGAAAGGAATGAAAGCTATGTTTAATTTATTAGTTTGAATAGTGTCTGTCAGATCAAAAAAGTTGAGAAAGAGCATCCATGGAGGCTACTAGGTTGATTAAGAAAAAAAAACAAAACAAAACAAAAAACCTACAAATATAGTACGAAATATAGTCATGGAACGAAAAGACGTACAGGGAATTTGTGATGTGAAATTGGGGAAAAATTTTAGTCTGAAACACCCTCTCCTTGTTCATGCTCTTCGTTCTATATAAAAGCTGATTTTTATATCTATGGATGGGTATGTGACCTCCTACATTCACCTGTTTTTATGTCTGTGTCATCATCCATGTGTTAGCAGAACAATCATCTGTCTCCCACTTAAAAACATCTCTACTTTGGGATAGACTTCTTTAGGAAGGGACAGACTGGAACTATGGTGCTTTCTCTTAAATACAAGAGTAGGCTGTCCATCACTTCATGCTGGGTACACCTCTGAGTACTCAGGAGTCAATTGGGTTGCTATTTGGAGACAGATTCCCAAAGAGTGTTTAGATTGGGTGTTTGGAATTTTTTCAGGATTAGAAATAAAGATCACAGTCTAATGATACATAGTCAGAGCTGGTCATTGCATAGCTTAAGTAGAATAACTTCCCTTACCCCAGTTCCCTGTGTGGAATCAGCAGCTAGTATCCATATGTAAAATATACTGTGTTATTGCTGGGCAACCAGAACTTCCCTGACTGTGAATATACAAGCTGACACAAGCAAGCCTAGGACAAGTGGATTTCATAATTAACTCTTTGCTAAGGATCCAAGTTCAAGCTGTCAACCAGCACCATGTCAAACCATTTACAAATTCCCCAAAATCCAGGCTTTTGAACAAGATTTTTTTCTTTTTTCTTTCACAATAGGCAATGTCAGCAAAGGTCACTTGAATAAACACAAGGTAATTCTCTTCTGCCTCATTTTTTGAAATTTATTCCTTTAAAAATTATAACTTCTGGTGCTTTAGTACTAATAGTAGATTTATCAGCTTGGGAGAAAAGTCTAAACGGTGCATCCATATCTACAGTTACATATATCAATTACTTGCTGTTATATTTAGCTATCTAAGCTCCATGCTCTTTATGCCACTGTTTGAAAGGTAACTTGATTGCTCAAAAATCATAATATTACTTCAAGAATTTACTAGCTGTGAGAATAAAATGTAACACAAGTATTGTCTATGGTTTGTACCAGGTTTCAGTTTGAAGCTACAGAATAACACAAGGGAAAAATCACTTAGAAGGTCCCAGGACTAAGGCACTGGCAGGGAGTCCATGCGAGCCTGCTGATGACCTTGGCATCATTTTCCAAATACAGGGGAATGACGGCAAAACCTGTTTAACTTATTTTTCTCTCTGACTTGATGGGGATAAATCTGGTGGGATTTGTTTATAATTGGCCTGTTCAAGAAAAAGGAATTTCCAGAATGACCATTAGAATGTGTCTAGAAGGTAGAGCTTTTTCATTGTTATTCTCTCACAGTGAGAAAGTAAAATATATAGTTTAGCAATAAAGTTTTTTAAGTAACAGAATTTAATATGTCTATCACTAGTTTGAAGTCTGTTTATTTTAAAGACAAAAAGTCATGGAGAACTGAAAATATTTAGGTAACAATGTTGTCCATTCCTGAGACAAGTTTATGCAGCTATTGCAATACCAAGACAATAGGTAACCATGTGTATGTCAAGGCATTGTGCAGTGCACTTTTTCTTTAATAAGAGATGGCAGTTTCAATGTTTCTATGTCAGCAAGTGACAGTTTTGGTTTTTTTGTTTTTTTTTTTTTTTAATATCAGAAATTATTCCATAGCAGAAATATAGTAATTTCCACCCCTCTTTTTCTTTAGATGTTTTCTTCTCCTCTTTCTAACCTCATTTGTATGTAGTGTGTCATCCCTTAAACTCCAGCCTTTATTTCTCTGCTAGCTCTTAGTCAGACAACTGCATATAAGGTCTTGACAGTTAGTATACCTCAAATCCTCCAAAATATTGCAGATTACTAGTGTAGTACAGGTATGGCAAATTTTTTAATGCTATGGATAATGGTCAATGTAGAAATATCCCGAGGTATGCTGAAATGAATCACATATATGTCTTAGGTGTAGATTCTTAACTAGGCATTTGTTAAAATTATTAATTGTATAATATAGCCTACCCGCTACAGCACTACATAAACATGGTATTACTATATGTGCTGGGAAGGTGCACAGACAAGTGAACTTGGAGGGTTTAGGTAGTTTTAATTACTCTTGGGAATATTAAACAGGTTCACATGAAGTTGGCTAAAACTGCTCCTTTACAGCAGAAGAAAATGACAAATCTCAAAAGTTTTTTGTCCACCAGTAAATCTAAATACTTAAGCTTTATTGAAACATAAACCATTATGAGACCTCTCCTCTGCACCTACCTGCCTCTCATTTTCTCTGGAAACAAATTACATTTCTGCTGGACTTTCTGTCAATATACACCTGCACATACATCTCCATGTAGTCAACCACCTGTGACAGTTTGGTATCCCCTAGTACTACATTCCTTTTCCAAGCTATGAATAAAATTCAATGTTCATTTCACTGGTGTCCTCATTGTATTTTCATGTTCCAAGGAGTGAGCCCATGGTTCTTTTGAGATAACCACAACCAAGAATTTACTTTTTTATTTTTATTTTATTTTTTTTTAAATTTTATTTTATTTTAAATAACGTATACCTTCTCTGCTTCCAAAATCTCCCTCTTCCTGTTAGTAGTATGTATTATTTTTTGAAGACTCAGTGCCAAACGGCAAACAGCACATTGACAAAAACACGCTCCTTGCTTTAGAAACTTGCAAATCTGGACCCATAAACAATACAGAATGATTAAAAAATACAGAAGAAGTCCTCTTCTACAGCCTGTTAGTCAACATAAAGTCTTTTCTGGCCTTTACACAACACTAAATGACCAAAGGACTGGTATTCAAATGATGCTATAGGTCTATGAGAGTTTCAGTTTGTAAGGGTCATGAAGGAGGAAGGCAACATAAAAGGATGGCAAAGAAGAAAGTTGCAGCTACATAATACTGTGGAAGAAGGGAGTTCTTATAAAAAAAAATGCTTTGTAGGAGAAGTCACAAACACAAGAAATGAAAACAAAAACAAAAACAAAACCAACACAAACCACTACAAATTATATAGGAAAAAAGTGCTTCCGTGTAAAGACTTGGGCAGAGAGAAAACATAGGAGTAGAGATGCAGCACAGGGTTGATTCATACAGAACCTTAAATCTTGACTCAAATTTAGTGTACTTTTTGTCTAAGAATTAAATGAGTCTTTGAATTTTTCTGCTTTCAAAAACCAAATTGACAGACCTGTTATTTGACTAACCTAGTTTCATATGGAGTGAATTACAAAATCAGAAATAAGAATTGGAAGGCCTCTATACAGCTCCTCATTCTCTTTGTGCTGACAAAATGTTTTTAAGCTTCCTAGGGAATGATGTCTATATGAGGGCTACTAGAAAAACCTTACTTAGGGCTGTTTGAACATCACACTTAGCCTCACAGTGATTCTGACAAAATTATATTTATTGAGTCTTCTTAACTAATCTCTTGGCAATATATGTATTCTTCACAGTATATTTATGCCTGAGCACTACATTCTGAAAAAAATACCACATTAGCATATTAATTCAGTTTGTGTCATACTTACTAACTTTACTTGCAATTATAGAGAAATTGTACTGTGCTGTGCTTTCTCTGTCCAGTAATTCATTAGTAGCAATGGTTCCTTCAGTAGCATCTATTGTAAAGTAGCTGTCCCCATCATTCTTCCAATCAATGAAGTATCTGTATGTGAAAAATATTAAACAAAGTAGATGCAAATATGCAAAGATTACTCATTTATCATTGCAGCAGTCTAGCTAGCTCAAGTCTTGTTATTTTTTCTCTTCCCAGCTATTACTGTCCTTGCAGGAAGAAGACAATAAAAAAAGATTTGTTTATTTCTTTTTTTGCAGAGTTGGAATGCTCCAGGGAAAATGGGATATAGTAGAAGATTTAGTACTTGTGTTGTTCAGATTATTCAAAATTTTGATCTCCCAAGAAGTTGATGCACAGCTTTTGTGACCCTGATCACTTATGCCAGTCACTTTAGAAAGCACTAGATAGTCTTAGAGGGAAAAAGAGAAAATATATGTGAAATAGTGTTTAAGGTATGAATAGAAATGAAGAGTGGGTCAGTTCTGGTCTCTTTACATCCATTTGTAGCTGCAATAGTCTGGAATTACCTTCACTGGGCTTTCAACAAGGTGTCCTAGTGGACATAGACAGGCTGTTGGCACAGTCTACTCAAAGATCCCTCTCCTAAAGGATGTTGGTGGAGTCACAGTGTGAGAAGTAGAGAAGTGTGCATATTCCCCCAAATATACAGAAGCAATAAAAGGCTCTTTGCCTTTGGGAAGAATAGTGACTTTTACTTTCCCTGGAGCTATGAGAAACAGGGTAATACCACAGGGTTTTTTAATCTCCTGAGCCTTTTTTTTGTCAAAAAGTATGAACACAGAACAGATTCAAAGCTAAAAATGTGTATTTATTTTTCCCTTGCAAGGTTTTAATAGAAAACAAAGATGCACTTGTAAACATAGATGCTTAACAGTAATCTGATAATTATTCCAACCCCATTTCCCTTAAATGCTAATTAATTTGCAAGTTTATTTTCAAATTTGATGCTACTGTTTGTAGTTATAACAGAATAGTAATTTTTTTCTGATGCAGTGCTCCCAGCTACTAATTTCTTTTTCATTGTTAGTCTCTTCATACCTTGATGATGATTCTCAAAAAACTAGGCAGGATGAAATTGAGAAAGCCATTTGTGAGCAGTAGACAGTATGAATAAAATGGTACTCAACAAGAAGTACTTTTGGAAGATCATAAAGGCCAGAAGACCATTCTTGTGACACCTCATTCCATGTAAAACAGAAAGAAGAATAACAAAAGCTTGTATTTCCTTCTCTAATTAGTGCAATTTATGGAAATAATATATAGGGAATGTAATGATAAACACTAATGATGGAGAATAAACCATGGTAGAAAGGGGTATATGGCATATTCCCAAAGAAAAATCTCAGACTCAAGAATGACAATAGGTCAGTAAGACTTGAACAGTAAAAAAAAAATCGCAAATAAAGTGCCATGGTACATTGGAGATATTTTGTTTGATCAAAATCAGAAGAAAATCTAATCTATAGATTAAACAAGTTATTTTATCAATTGACAGGTGTCATTACCAATTCAGCACTTTATTTGAAAAGCCTCAGAAATGATTGGCTAAAGGCAGTATGTATCCTTTTACATAGCTGAGCAGGCACATTTTCTTGAATATGACAATATTAACTACCCACATTTGTAATTTCACTGTCATTGTTCAAAATTTGATTGACATAAAATTATGAAAAATATGTAGGCCATTTAGTAGAAACATCATTGCACTGAGGATTTACTCTTCTTTCAGGAGAAGTAAAATTACTCTTTCAGTTTATGCATGTTTAATAATTTTTTTTTCCAAAATTAAATATACAGCTACACACAAATAAATGGGATCAATGCACAAGAAAGTAACTTTGCTTGTCTTTCTCCTTAGGAAGATTAGCTTTGTCTAAGTACTCTACACATAAGCCAATGAAGAAACTAGTACAGAACCTAATATAAAGCACAGTGTAGGTGACAGCCTTCTTCACCAGGAGGCTGTGAAACAACAGAATATATCCAGTTTGAACACTGTTTTGTCTGAAGTTGAGTTCAAGCATGAACAGTTGTAGGATCAGAATCTGATAGTCTCCCTGCAAGCATTCACACAAGTTATTAACTTTATGCACAAGCCCAGTATGGCTACTTCTAAACATAAGCATCAGCCCTGCAAGACTGGCACTACTCCTGCTGATACAACAGCAGAATCCTATGGAAGTGGGATGGGGCAGTTTGACCAAAACAGAACTGTAGCAGTTCTTCCAAATTAATAATCTTTGGCTGCATTAACACTGTGGAAACTATTATGCCACCATTGTTGCTATCGTAGTTTTTTGTTTTTTCTTTTTTTAATTACTTTGGCATTATCTGTAAAAACATCCCTTCCTTCTTTCTCCTTTTGCTGCATGTATCATAAAATTAGGGGTCGAACTCATTTCAGCTCCTCTCATCCTAAGAAGCTATATATTCAGTTAGACTACTGGGGGAAGTGGTGTAGGAGTAAGTATTGGAGATGTAAGAAAAACTTCAAGCAACTAGACATTCTTCCTCCTTTCATTGGTCATCCACGTGCAGTAGCCATGAAAACATACCTGGCAGAAGATCCTATTACAGATAGCTTTTCTGGACACTGTATTGCTTCCATGTACTTCAGTAAGTGTAAGGCTTAGCAAAAGAGTGAATGGGACCACATCTGGCTGCTTTTGAAATGGGAATATTTGGGACATCTCACAGGCAGGTCATTTTTTGGGAAGGCCCTAAAAGAAATATAGTTTCCTTTTACAGCCCCAAAGTACTATTTCATATAGTCTGATGCCCAACGTGAGAGTCTTTGTAAGCAGCTTAGGAACAGTTAGTCTCTTTCTGAGGTGAAGAGTGTTGCCTGAGCTCTGTCGTTTACTTGGCAAAAAATGCTTTCAAGAACAGAAGAAATGGGAAAAGAGTCTTCAACCAGAAAAATCAGTAACTTTCCAGAGATAAACCCAGGTATCTGGGACATAAGAGCTGACATTTCTTGTTAGATTGTGACATGAAGAGAAATACTGTTGAAATACTGGTATTAGGACAGCTGTCTAGATCTTCTAATCATGCTCTAGCAGTTTGAAGCAACTGAGGTTGGTTTGTTTGACTGCTTTGCATGCATGCGAAACAGATCATGGATAACTGCACTGATCCCGAGAGGCAGATCCCTCCTTGAAAAGTTAGAGAGAACTTAATTGTTGACATAAGACACAGCAGTTTTATTTTTCAGAAGCTCCTGACACAGGCCTGTCTAGCAGCTCTGAGTACCAGGACATTGATGTGTAGTTCATACTCAGTGGCAGGGAAGAAACATTGAACTGTATGTCTCCCTGAATATTCTTCCCAGCAGAGGACTGTATTCCAGATTAAACTGTTGAAAGCAGGGTGTGTGTGGGATAAGTGTGGAAGGATATAGCTTTGCTCACGTTGTCTCAGTCTTCTCAAGAATAGCTACATTTGTATGTCAAGTTGGAGAGAGGAGACAGAATGGAAATATTTGGTTTATAAAATGATAGGAGTCAAGTCTGCAGAGCTCTCCTCCAGAGCATTCACAAAGGCACACGCTGTCCTCTTAGGAGTGCCAAGAATAATTTACATTCACCTTGGCTGGACGGTGAGACTGTGTGTAGCGCATGGGGTCTCACAGAGCACTCCCGGAAAGGAGGGCTCATCCTTCAAAGAGCAGAGGACAAAAGAAGGGGGAAAACTGTGTGTACTAGCTGCAGCACAGAAACAGCAGAGTGCTTGATGGAGTGCTGTGAATTCATGAGTGGCAGCAGATCACCCCTGTGAGGATAACAGGAACTCTGAGCTGTCAAGCAGACAACTGTAGTTGCTTCCTACTGTTATACCATGAATAAAAGAACTGGACAGCTGTCCTGTTGCTGCTATGGAGACATGTGACAACGTGTTCAGGAGGGATGGGAGGTGGCAGGATGCTAAGAAGGTTGTGAAGCTCAGGAGTTGGGCTGCATTTTTTGGTTTTAAAAATGTGGAGGGGAAGAAGTCCCCTACCTAGAGTGAATGGCTTTGGGAACAGCGGGGGTCCACCCCAAACAAAAGTTTATAAACCTTGCCAAAGTCTTTGTTGCTATATCTTGATAATGACAGCAGTGGTGACACAATGCAATACGGGAATCATATAACAACTTGCAACATACTAGCATCTTTTTAAAATTTTTTTCTTCCCTCCTCATTGATGCATAAATACAATGTAGAATATAGCTAAAAAGTATTACAACCACCATCAGTGCTCAGTATCATTTTCTCTTTTCATCTCTCTTTGGATAGGGTTTTGCTGTCTCTAAAGAAGGACAGTTGTGAAGTACTGGCCTACATATTTTGTCACATACTTATGAGGTGGTTGGGATTGTTCTAGAGACAGAAAAACTGTTGGGTCTTCTATTGAAGATGATGTCACAAATACAGAGAAAGTAAAATTAACAGAGAATCAAGAAGTACCACAAAAACTTGCCAGTTATACAATGCTGGCATAGTAAAGCTGGGTCATATCAAGGTCTAAGCACTCTCTCGCACATTCCTAGCCTGGACACACCCTAGTATATTTATCTTTGCTTCTACTCTCATCTGGCTGGCAGCTACAGCCACCATACTGAGAAGCAGAATCCAGGTCTTAGACAAGCTGCTTTAACATCATCATATACTGAAAGGTCTCAGAGACTAATTAAATGAGAGGAGCTGCAATACCTTGCCTATATACATCCGTATCTCCTAAAAAGTAAGAGCACAAGCAGAAAGTCTTGCCTAGCTCTGCCATGTCACTGCCTGTGAGAAACATAAGGGGATTTATGAATATGCAGGAAAAATACTTGTTTCCAGAAAGTTTTCTTTCTGATACCAGACCTGAAAGCATACCTGAACTCTGACCATCTGAAATGGGATATGTAGTCCTTAAAACGTGTTCATGATTTTACAGCCATGCAGTTCAAGTCATGAAATAAGCCAGGTAAAACATCTATAAGTGAATGCATTTTGGGAGAAGATAAGATGCTTTAAAGCTAGACTGGGAGAATTAAGGCCAAATGCCATAAATAAAACTCTAAAGGATCAACCTTAAAGAA